AAGAGAGTACCAGAGAGAGCGAAGCCGAAAGAGAGCGCAAACTCCAGAATTTTAAAAACAGAGAGAACGCCAGCGGAGAGAGCCACAAAACTGACGTAATCGCATTGCTGGGGGAGAGAGAGGGAGAGGGATGGCGAGATAACGAGAAAGAGGGAGAGCGGACAAACAAAATAATTTAAGGAATGAAAAAAATGAAATCATTCAAGGCAAACCAGCGCCGCTGGAAAAAACATCAATGAAAAAACAATTTAAACACTTGAAGCCCAGCAGCAGCGGCAACAAGCGCTACTAACCTCCATTGTTGTTGTTTTTGTTGCTTTTGAGTGCTCTTAGTTCACCGTTAGCTTGTGTTTTTGTTGTTTCCACTATTCTTTGTTGCTGTTTTTTGTTGACACGCACGAGAATTCCCGTTTGTATTCCCCCAAACTTCTTTTGTTGTTTTCCTTGGGCGTGACACTCGAAAACTAGCCGGATTTTCACGGGTTTTTCTTGACAGAAAGTCGCGTGGTGTTTCTGGGAAACTCTTTTCACTGAGGAACACTACCCACTTGCAGCCAGTGCAATTGTAACTTAATGAATTGTTGCTAGTAAACGCTAAACTGACGGCGAACAAATTTAATTTCGAAGTGGCAAAAAAACGTAAACCGAGCTCAATAGTGTGACCAAACTGTTATCGGTATGAGCAAACAGCTATCGATAGCAGTGCTGCCAACTTGACTTTTTTTGGGACAAATCTGGCTTTTTTTGAAACTTTGTCCGTACAAATTTTGAAACATCTGTCCTAAAAACGATGCCTTTTTAGAATATTTGGTTAATGCACGTTGCCACAATTAAATCGTTCCTGGCACATATCTCCAACTGATGGGGCATATATAGCACGATAAACTGATTAAACCAAAAATATAGCGGAAAAGCTGTTTAAAAACTAATTTAAATAAAAAAAAAAAAATTGGTTGGTCCTGTTTTTTGAGTATTTTTATAAAAAATTTATCCTTTCTTTTGTCCTTTTTTGTTTAAATGGATCTCTCTTTTTTTGTGTTGGAGCACTGCCAACACTGACCGATAGGCTTTTTTGTGGCTATCGATATACATAACATTTAACTACTTTTAAGGTATGACCTTATTTTTGCTCAATTATTTTAAATTCTTGTATACTTAATCTTATTTAATTTATTTTTTTAATCGTTTAACCTGTTGTTGTGTTTTTTAAGCCAAGCTGTGCTATTTTTTAGTATTTTTTAAAGAAAGAAAAGTTTTGAAGCCGCTGATAATTAAAATATATTTCTAAAATCTTTCAACAATTTAGACTGGAGATCGCTATTTAAACTAAAATTAAGTAACAAATACTTTAAAATTAGCATATATTAAATTGGTAATCAAACCAAAGTACCAGAAAATATTAAAACTGGCTTAGAGAAAAAAACCAATTAACTAAATTAATAAACATAAATTTAAAGTAGGCAAAAGCCTTGACAAAATAAAACCAATTTAACCATAAACCTCAAACCTCTAAAATCTTCGAAATGACACATTTTCCATACGGGTAATTTTTATGGGCAAAACATAAAATGAAAATTATCCAACATGCATACGTCCATAAATCAACCTGCAAAGGTCCCAGGAATCCAGATGCGCCCATTTTCCGCGATGTCCTTCTGCCCTTTCCTGCCCCTTGTCCTGCATATCATTTTCATTTCGTTTTTATCAACTTTTCTTGTGTAATTTTTGAGCGAATTGCGTTAAATTAATTAGGGTAGTGGTAAGCGAGGGGCGAAAAGGGAAGACAACGAGGTGCAGACGAGGGAAAAACTTGTGCGGAATTTCCATAAACAACAATAACAGGAGACACTGCTGCATACTTTCAGAGAACAAAAAGACCGGTTGACTGCACAGAGAACAAATTAGAGTAATACGGAGACTTTAAAAGAAAAATAGTTTCAAAAATTGGACTAAAACCAATTTAAAATATTATTTGTTTTAATAAATAAAAGAACTTAAAAATTGAGTATTTAATTTATAAAGCATTATTTCTGTTGCATAAATTGTAGTTTAGAAATTTTCCTTTAGGAAAAACCCAAAAATAAATATTTACGAACAATTTTGAAAAAAAGAAATGATAATAACTAGTTGAGCTATTTTATATACATAAATATTTTACAATAATTAACAAGCCAATATTTCATTTAATCCAAAGCAAAGCTTACTCCATTTTAACAGAATAATGAAATTTACTCACATTAAACAATCTTAAATTTTATTCTAATTTTATTTCAGTGCCCTAAGAGGGGTCAGGGGGCTAGGTCGGGGTGCAAACGTGATTCGCAGACAAATAGAAGACGTCATAAAAATGCCATTGTAAGTAGTTGAGTTTTCCTTTTTTTTTTTTTTTTTTTGGCTTTTGCTGGCAGTTGTGACAGGCGGCACTGGCAGCTTCTGCTTTTGTAGTATTTGTTGCTGTTATCCTTGTAGCTATCCTTAATGCTGTTGGTGTTGTTGTTGCTGCTGGCAAATCGACAAAAGGCACGCAAAGGAGGCAGAAACTCATTTCACTTGTGTCGAAAAGATAAATGCGAAGCGCTTAAAAAAGCAATTACCGCATAAATTGCGCTACAACCCGGTATGCCCATTCCCATTCCCCCCAACCTGATACCCTCCCTCCCTCACCCCACTCCCTGTCATTTTCCGCCCCGAAACTACGCCCCTGGCCTTTATGCCTTTATGTGCACAGGATGCGGCGCATAAAACTTGCTACAAAAGACAAGTCCTTCCTCCTTTCGCGACTCAACAAACCGAACAAACAAACGAACAACAAATGTTGGCAACACGCGAAAAACATGCAAAATGCATTGAGATGGCAGAGGGTTTTGGGGTTTGGGGGAAATGGGAGTCCGGCTTAATTGAAAAATCAATAGTGGGCCTTCTCCCCACGCCACTCCATTCAGTCAGACGCCCACTAAACTCGCGTAAATCAAGTTAAAAATCGCAGCAATCAAAGCACCTGAAGCGCAATAAAAACTCATTAAAACGGGCCCTTACCAATAGGGGACAGCACGGGGTGGCTGCACTGGGGGAAAATGTTTACTAAATAAATATTTAGTAGCTTTATTTTATGGTTTATTTGAAGAGAAATCAATTTCTAAGATTTATTTAAAGACTTTGAGAGAAGGGACAACGTTTTCCCCTTCATTTGTAATAATTTTATTTATAAGTGTCAGGAAATCCTAAGGCATCCTATATTATTGTTATTTATTGCTAAATTATTGATAATTATTACTTATTCTCCGTGTATCAAAACAGCATCCCGTGACGATTGGGGGCCAGGTGTGGTGTCCGGACTCCGGACTCCCGGTTGGAGACACGGCCGTGCTCCGAAATTGGATTTGAACAAATTACAACACATCGATTTCTCATTAGGAGACGCGGATGGAGCCTTTGCCGGGGCAGAGGAAATCGGGCGGCAAATAAAAGGAAAGGAAAAGCAGCGAGAAAAGGGGGGCTGTTCCCACTGGATGCTGCGACATTTGATGGCGACAGAAATCACTTAAAGGGAAAATTTAATTGACTCGACGGCGGAAGTCAGCTGCCAATTTGTTGGCCATGCCAACACTGGCACCGGAAATTTCGTCGACTTCCTGATTTAAATAATAACAAACTGTGCCAATGTCTGCTCAGCCTGCTCAGCTTGCTCAGCCTTCGTTTTCCACCTCCTTTCAGACCTACTCCTCCAGTTTTCCGCCCTTGGCTTCCTGTAAGTCGAAAGTCTTGCTTGTCACGCCAACTGACGGCAACTCAGGGCCACCCCAGTCCCTCTGCTCCTGATGTATCTTTTTTGATGGTGGGGCCAAGAACATGATTGGCGTCATCAGCGATGGATCTGCAAAAGCGGCGGGGCAGTGGGAACTTGGGTGTCAACGTTGATTTTGGTCAGCGTTTGCCTGCCGGCTTAGTTGAGTGTCAATATTTGGGCGCCTCCTGTGCGTGGGGGCGGCGCTATATATCCTTGTAGGATGGATGGAGGGGGCGTGGCAATGGCAAATTAAAATGTTTGCCTTATGATGCGGCTGGAAATATAAACATGACAGGGCGGGCAGGAGGCGTAGACAAGAAAAATTGCGAATATGTGTGTACTTTGGGGTGGCGCACACAACCTGGCAGATCGATGGGAAATTCTGTAAAGGATTAGATGGCAAATCCCTCAGGGAGGTTTACTGGCTTATGGCAAGAGATTATCGAGAGTTATCAAAAATAATGGATATTTCCGGCAATTAGGTAATTAACTTATAAGCTGGGAATTACATTTAGGCTGTGAATTATAATTATTTATGAACTGTAGAGTGAAAGTAACTAAATATGGATATAAGTTAACAATATAATAATATTTAATGCACTTTTTATTTATTCTTTGTATATTTCTAGAACAAAATTTGCTGCTAAGATTTCAAAAAGAAAGTTAAAATAGTATAAAAAATATATTGCACTTTAATGTTTAATTTAATAAAAACAAAATATGTTATCCGGAATGGCAAAAATATTCTTTTTACATAAAAGACCAGTCTTTGTTCCCTTTATTTTAATACAAACAAAAGCAGTTCATGTTTCCTCTATAATTTTCTGTGAACTTCCTTTATTATAACCCATGAAAATCATCCACGTGAAACCCGTAATTTCGAACTGCAATTCCGATAAGAGATCATTCCGTTCCAAGCTAACTGCGATGCCTTCACCAACGATGTGCCAGGACGTGCAGTCCCCCCGTCCGTGCTTCCTCCTTGTTTCTGCCTGTTGACTGAGAACTCTTTGCATTTGTTGAACAACAATTTCCGGCACGAAAAGGACGAAAGCCGAACGAATCGTGGAAACGAAGCGCCAAAGCCGAAGCCAAGGCTCAACTGGTGAGATTCGCCCGAATCAGGACGAAGGACGAGCCACGAACGGCAGCAGCAGTAGCGGCGGCTATAAGAAGCGGCTTCCTATTAAAGCCAACCGGAGTCGCGCCAGCAACGTCGAACGGCAAACAACGCGACTTTCGCCAAAAATAAAAACCAGAATCGAAATTCAAACGACGAAATATCACGCATACGCCACGTAGAACCGAAAATATACAAGTGAAGTGAAGCTACCAAAAAAAAGAAAAAGAGAAACAAAAACAAAAGCCAAAAGAGGGGAAAAAGAGTTTACCGCCTGGGCTCGTTAGTGGAATTTTTTGCAGCCTTTTGGCCAGTTTACGAGCGGCTCAGCATAAATTGGTAACGTGTATATCCTCTTTTTTTTTTTTTGGGGGGCAATTGGGGATTTTTAGGGGGAGAAATGGCTCATAAAAGTGCGTGAGAGCGGAGTATTTGGCCATGAATGGAATCCAAGCGAAAAACCCATGAATGAAGCTGACAAAGTGACGGGAAAATGCGGGCAAAGGGAAAACTCTTCCCTGCTCCGCCAAGGTGATTTATGCCGCGAGTTTGTCTGGCATTGTTGCTTTAATTATATGACTTCTCGGAAGACAGGAGAGTATGAGTTGAAATCCAGAAAAGGATGCGAAACTTGCCGCTTTGATGTTATGGTAGCCAAGCACGCAGAAATGCAAATGGAAAGCCGCAGACAATTTTTGGACATGTGTGTGAATGTGTGTGTGTGCTAAGGACAACACAGCACCTTTTCGGGGGGACAACCGAAACACCGCAGGACATTTAACACTTCATTGACTTTTGTGGCCCCTTTGACTCGCTGACTGACTGACTGTCAACATTCCGGCGAAAGTTTCATTTGCATTTCGTGTGCGCCGTCACTGAAAATTAATGGCCGCAATGCCTTGGCAAGTTTTCTTCCCCTTCCCCCCGCCTGCCACTTTCCTGGGCCATTTTGTCCCCCCCATAATTTCATCCTCCTGCCGCCTGCCTGCCAATTTGTTTGGCTTCGAACTCTTTAATAAGTTTGCCAGGCGCCGCAAACTTTTGCCAGCAACAGCGAATTCTTGGCCCAACTCCTTTGACAGCCTTTTGACCCTTTTTGCACACTCACACACACCCGCACACACCCGCACACACGCACAGTGCGGCAGCACGTGTGTGGCCTAGAGTCCTGTGTGGGTGTTGCCATGGCCGTCTGATCCTGGGCTTTGACATCTAATTTATGAAGCGCTCTTAAATCCAAACGCACCAAGTTTTCGTTTCCGCTCCAACAGCAACAGGCTGCAAGCTCCTCTCCCTGGCGACCCATTTATTTAGAGGGTATCACGTAGTCGTTCGTTTTTATTTACAGCCGCTTTATACAGCTGGGGTCAGGATAATAGAAGTCACTTGTAGAAGTTTCACAAGAGGTATGCCGAGCAATAAAAAAGTTTCTTTTGCAAGTGTGTGAGAGTTTCCGTAGTAAAAAATAACAGAGTTCAAAGTTGGCAAATGAATAAAGAATTTTTTTTAAACAAATGTTTGACTCAACCTTGATTCTTTTGAATTTTAAGAAGGGGAATAGATGAAGATTTGAAATTAATTTAATTAGGAATGGAATTCTAAAAAAAAACAAGGATTTATAAAAATGTGTTCTAAATAGTTTGAAAAATATTTAGTAAAAGTTGAGATTATATATTTTAAAAATAAAAAAATATATTTTTATTTGTTTTTACGTGAATTTTGTTGTAAAAAGACTACAATAAACTTTAAAAGTAAAAAAAAAATTAAAATTAAATTATTATTATAACACTTTTTTGCTTTGAAACTTTGTTTTACTTAATAATCCTGTCATCCTGTCATGTGCAAATATAATTTTATTCACAATATTAATTTCCCTTTTTTTACTTTACGAAAAAAAAACTCTATTAAATTGCAGCTTGTTTTTATATAAATAGTTTAGTTGCCTCTAATAATTTGTCTCTAACTATGTGTAAGCTCTTTATTTTATTACTATTTCCTTTTATTTTTTTGCACACTGAGAGCTAAAAATAAACAGCTTAAGTGAAGAAAAAACCAAATCCCAGTTGGGGCTTTTGGCCATTTGCTAGCAACTCGCCTACTTATTTTCAGCATCCTCCCAAAAGCCCAACCCCCTTTTATTAGGCTTCTTTTTTGTTATTGTTGTATTGACCGTAAGTTATGTTGAAAAAGAGGCGTTAGTGCGGGGGCGTGGCAGCTGCGTCACATTCCTCAGATTGTTAGATTTGTTGCCCCGCCAAAAGAAACTTTTTTAATGAGTTTCATAATCTTTGATGCGCTTCGCTTTGTTTCTAGCCCGGCTTTCCCGCCTCCCCGCTTTCCAACAATTTTCCCTGCCTTTTTCCAAAAACTCGGCCTAATGATGTGCGAGCCGTGGAATGTGGCCTTTGAAAATTGTTTTTCCCCTGCTGAGAAGGAACCTAGCTAGGGGCTCGAGGGCCAAAAACTTATTCAGCGAGTGCTAGGGTCGCGATAAGCGTTTAATTGAATGCGAGGCGACCCCTGGCTTTTTACCGTGAGGAGTTCAGGGTTCAGGAGGGCGTGAAAAAAAAGCAGAAATTAATCCAAATCTAAATAGGATTCCTCTGCCTGATGTCCGTTTCAGGTCGTCGGATACCGGATGCCTGCTGATTGCAGTTGGCAGCTCGCTTTTTAATCCGTTGCAGCGTCGAGATGCAGCTAGCTGACCTCATCGCCCTCTTTTTTGTTAGTTGGAAACGCTTAACGGGGCTTACACTGGGAGAATAATATATGTAAATCACATACAATTTATTATAAACTGTAATAAGTAGAAATTCCTCCAGTTTCCAAATTAAAACATAATTGTAAACTCTTTTTAGATTCCTTTTTGAAATTAACAAAGAGTCTCCTTGGCTTAATCTGCATTGAAGGGATTTAGCTTTTCAGAGCTTGCTTAATTTTTTCCCCAACTGGCTTTCGTTTAAATTATTTACCCACTAATTGAGAGCCTTTCGAGTGGATTGAGCTGGAAGGAAGGCGGCCTCGGAGTGGAGTATGGAAATTCGAGGGGTCAGGTCGAGTGGCATGCATTTCGGTGCACTTGTAGCCCCGTGTGTGCCACGCCTCCTGCACCGTTAAATCCGGGAATCTAATTCCCTTTGTGGGTTGCTCAATCGTCACTCAGCTTAAATTTCATTTGTTTAATTTCCTTTTCCCCAAAACTGAGCGCTGGGCTTCACTCTTCTTGGCCAGCGTATAACATATTGGGCAACATGCAGAGCAAATGTGCAACAATGCACACAGAGGGGAACTGGAGAAAAGGGGCAAAAGAACATCTGCAGCATCTGGCAACATGGAATGCAATTGTGCAACATATCCGTGCTACTGTGGGCGTGCTCTGAATGGGCCCTTGGATCCCTTCGTCTTCGGCTGACGCGGCGTATGCGTAATTTGTGTTCTGTTCCCTGTGTCGCGAGACTTTCCTTTCCCCTTTTTCATCTTTTCTTTTTATGCTGGTGATAAAAAATCGTGGCGAGAAGTTTTTCATGTAGCCACAAGGCTTCTAGGGGGGGATAAATGGAAGATTCAGATTCGCTGGGGAGAAGGACACACAAGGCAGAAACCAGGCAACCGGGATTCCTCGCCGGCCAGAGATAATCCTTTGTCCAGGCTGCGTCTTTATCTCCTTCTCGGTCTGCTTGTGCTTGTGCTTCTGGCTCTGGTTTTCTTCATTTTTTTTCTTCTTTTTTTTGTAACCTTGTTGGCATAATTTTGATAAATCACTGCAGTGAATACGCCACATTAAATACATATTTCTTATTTTGATTCGTATTCCGTTGGGTTGGGGAGTCCATGAGTCTTTTATGGCTGTGTTGCCAGGGAAACTAGCTATTCAGTGGTGGAAATAAGCACTTGGGATAATAATTAACTTTATCTTGGGAATGTATCTAGTCTACAGGCAACTACTAGGTATTTTTAAGAACATTGTTTTTATGATACAAAGTCTTTAATAAGATTTTAATTCCTTATAAAATACCTTTTTCGTTATGGGGCTATCTTCAGAGCTGTCTTTCAACTTATTCAATTTATGTAAAGAAAAAATTTATAAAAAATATATAGACGATATTAAGATATTTTATCCTAGTTTCAAATGGGAATAAATACAATGAAAAGACCATACAATGTAACTGCTAAATAAATAATATTTAGGGTATTAGCAGTCTTCTTAACTTTCCTGATGTGTTTTCCTCTTGTTTGGAATTTTCTACATTTGCTGTTCGTTTTTTGCTGCCCTCGTGTGCGTGTTGGGGGGATATGAATAATCTGCACGTTATTTCCATCTGCTTTTCACTCACGTTTCCCCATCTCTTTGCGCTTTTCCGCCTTTCATTGCAGCTGGTCTCCGCGTATAATACCCCCAACTCCGTTTCCCCATTTCCCATTTGCACGGCCGTAATGAGGCAATGAGACGGGTAGCCGGAAAAGCCACGTCGGGAGAAGCGGCAACAGCGGCGCAGCCATGACATCTGGATCTGAATCGGGATCTGGAGTTTTCCGGAGTCTGGAGCTTTGGCCCCTGAACGAGTAAAGGAAACAGAGCGAGTGACAGAGAGAGAGAGCAATGCTGCGCGATATCTTTCTGTATTTAGTTCTAATCGTTTTATTTTGCTTCATTTTCATGGCGCAGTTAATCGTCAACGTTTACGCCTTCCAGCGCCAGCCGTCGCCCCAAAAAGCGGAGCGCAATGAAATTATATTTGTATAGAAAAGAGACAGCCGCTGGTATATATATACACTGAAAACAATTCACACACACATCATAAATGAATACAAGGAGAAAAAGTTTCAAAATAACAGCTAAATATACCGAGAATAATCAGACATAAATGCAAAGGCATTTATTTATTAATTAACCTTTGAAAAGAAAATACACCTTACATTTCATGAAAAAATAGGCAACAAATAACAAAACTATTTACCAAATATTAATTATTTTAAACTACAAAAATGAACAACAGTCAAAAGTTGCTAAGTAAACAAGAACTTGTATTTAAAAATCAAGTTTTTGTTCTCAACAGAAAATCAATACACAAATCAAAATAAACCATAAACAAAATAACTATCATATAAAAGTCATATTAAATGAGGTCTAGAGTCTTATGATTTTCGTTCAGTGTAACCAACTTAAGGACAGAAAAAAGTAGATATGAGTTGGTGGCCCAAATGAAGATGCTACAAAGGCAACGGCGGCTAGAAGTCAAGCCGCGGAGGTTTCTATTTAATAAGAAGAGGAACTCAACTGGGTTCAACTTTCAGTTGAGCGGGAAAAGTGGGAAAAGGCGTGGAAAATGACGGCGTGGAAAATGCGGGGGGAAAATGGGGCAGAAGCGGATATCAAAAAGAGGGGGTAGATCACTGCTGAAGGAAGATAAACCCTCGAAGAACTGTTAAACTAGGTTGCGCGCTAATTAGTAACGGTAGTCTTGGGAGTGCACAACATACACACATCACTACACACCTAGAACACACACAAAACACTGAGAGAAATTAACATCAAGAAATTCATAAATTCATGAAGTAATCTTTCATATCAAAGTGGCTTCCATGTTTATTAACTAGATTTTCCACCTTTTGAAAATTTAATTTTGTAGAATAATTAATTCTTAATAAATTAATTAAATTCTTAAATTCTCGTTATAACCATAACTCTTCCAAAAAAATATTTTAAAACATAGTTAGGTATGCTTTCACCCTTATAACCGTTTAAGCCACAAAATAATGTGATAAGCCTTTAATCATTTAAGCATTTATTAAGGCTAGTTAAACCTTTAAATTAATTATTTTTTCTTTTAAATTAAAATTTATAACATCTTTTAATATAATTTTCTTTAACTGCAAACACTTTGGCTGAGGCACCCGCAAAAGAAAGTTTTTCCAGCAACAATAAACCACCGGCGACACGTCGCCAAGGGAAAGACAAAGGAAAACCACTGAAAAATCCCCTGAAACAGCAGGGAGCTAAGGAATTCAGCGGAGTTGTCAGCGCCAAAGGATGCTCCGGAAAATGAGCGAATTAATTTCATAATTTTTTGCATTGGCAGTCGCTGCCACAGCCACAGCTCTTTGTTTGCCTTTCATTAATTTTTGTCTGAATTTTTCTACTGGATGAAAAAGTGTTGTTTTTGTTTTTCTCACATTATTTAAAATGAAATCTCTTACTCAGATTGCCAGAATATTGGACACATTGTTACAGTAATTGATTGAATGTGACACCGAGCAATTTTCATTAAGCTTCTAGCAATTTTCATTGCCTACTTTATGGCGCTGGCGGCAATCAAGGCTTTAATTCGGAAAAATTGAAAAAGTACTAAGGGCGTGGCAGCTGGCTATAGTTGCAGACACTTTGTTGTGTTGCTTTTTTTGTCTTTCAATTTTTGTTTTATTTTGTATTCTTGTATTTTTTTTGTATTGATTTCTAGCCGCACTCGAGGCCTTTTTGGGTTGCGTTTTGTTCACGGGTGTTTTTCTTTCTACTTGTACTTTGTTTTTTGGGTTTTTTCTTTTTGTTTTTGTGTTGTTTTGTCAGCTTTCATATTTTTCGGTTGTTTTTCATTTTGGCACGCCGCAGCGTTTTATTGTTTTCTTTTGAGCTGTTACTGCCGCTGTTGCAGGACTTCAGGACTCGAGTCCTCGAGTGGCAAACACACTTGAACACTTGACCCCGTTCGACGGCGAGCATTGAAACTTTACAATGGGCCGGGAAAATGCGAAAATGTTTATGGGAGGGGGGAGAAGGGCCGGAAAAGCGGGCGGAAAAACCCGGCGTATTTAACTCTTGCCGGGGCGGTTTAACTTGATTGCTGTCAGTGTGTCCAAATGGAAATTAAAGTTTCATCAAAACGCTCAAAGCTCTAAGCGGATGTGGGCCAAGTTTGCCTGAGAGTCTTTCGAGGGGCTTCGCTTAAATTTAAATTGAAGTTTAAACTGGAAACCATTACACCAACACCAACACCCACACAAAAGAACACATACACCGAAACACTGAAGAAGAATCAAAATGTATTAATCGAAAATTATAAAAGTTTTACATATAAAGAATCTACAATAGAGGAACATTTTACGAGTACGGTTATATACTCTACTATACATACTTAGATATATGATATATACATTCGAACAATAATAGAGTTAGTTAACGATTGATAAGTGCTAAGCAGCCCCCAAAATTGTATCGAACTTGTAGTTAGATCTGAACAATGAAATCGAAAGAAAATCGAAGGAAATTAAATAAACCAAATAAATGTTCTTTGGCAAAAAAAGAGAAGACTTGAATGAGTTTTATTTGGGAGGAGATGCAAGTTTTTACATCAGTTACCAAGATAACTAAGAGTATTTTCATTCAAATCCTCCAATTGTACAACTCGGATATTTTCACTTCAAATTTAGCAATAGTTTTATTTAATGTAAGAAGCTTTAATTCAATTTTGCCTTTGTTGTGAATTCAAATCACAGAAATACCTTGTCTAGTTCTCATAAATAACTCATTTAAATATTTAGAAAAATTGTATTAAACTAAGACAAATTACACCGAGTTAAAGTTGGCATAAAATTAAATCTTGAATAATTAACAAGAAGGTTTTGTGGAATGCTGCAACTCATTTGAAATGCAACCGAACCGCAGGATCATCTCGGATTCCCTCTCAGAATTTTATGCATTCACTTTCTGGCATTCATAATTGGGGTTGCTTGTCCCAGCCTCTTGTTTCGGTGTCTTTTAACCCCTTGGGCTATGCCATTTGGACGCATTGAGTGACCAGTCCATTAACGTTCCCATTTCGTATTTTTCTGTCCCCTTGAGGAAGTGTTAAATGGCATTTTGGGCAATTGGCATGAGAAGAAATGAATACATTATTTCAGCCATTTAGTTGAACGGAGGATGGGGTTGCAAAGGGGCAGCTAGCAAAAAGGGTGGAAATCGCCTGTCATGTCACTGGGTCCTCTGACAAAACTTTTGGCTCTCGGCCAGAATGCAAAAAAGAAAAGCTGCCTGGGGGAGCAGCCACCTCCCTCAATTTCTTCATTTTTCGCCAGCATGCAACAAGCTTGAGAAACCCCCCTGACATTTTCTTTGGGACTGCTGCTGCATTTTCTCTGTGCCACTGGGGCTTGTTTTTATTGCATGCCAAGATGTCTGAGCTTTCAGAAGAACAACGGACATGATGAGCAACAAAAACAGAAGCTGCGGGGAATGGAAAATGGATTTTTGTTATTGTTATTGCTGCTACTGTAGCTGGTCGGTCTCGTTTGCTGAATTTTATTGCATTACAATGAACAGCGCCTTGACCAAATTTGGTCAACAAATGAAACGAAATAAATGCGAAATTGTAGAGAGAAAATGTGCAGAGAAGAAAATGAATAGTATTTTAATATTTAACATTTAAAATCCATATAATAATTTAGTGAGAAAACATCTAATTTAAATTTTAATATAATTTTTGGAGCAACCAAGAAGTTACAATATTATTTTCAGATAAGTCCCTTAAAATAACCCTTAATTTATTCACTGTGCACATAAATAAGAAATTTATTTTAAAGCTTTAAATCTTGAATAAAATTGGATTGAAAACATATAGAGCTATCTGGCATCGGAAATCGCTTAAAACAGACCCGCCGACAGTCGATTTTTCACTTGGCATTGGCCGACAGCTGTCGAAGGTTCTGTGGAACCATTCATAAGTGACGTTATGGGTGAAAAAAAGTGGACAACAACTTTTGGTATTTATTTAATATTTATTTTATATTTATTTTGTGTTATTTGCCCACTTTGATCTGTGCTGTTGCGACAAGTTCTTTGCCAAAGTCATGTCAGCTGAGGAAAATGCGGAAAGTTCGCCGAGAGAGGGCGGAAACAAGAGAGAGTTGGGGGGAAAAAACGAGTCCTTGTTCCAACCAATTGACAAACGAAAATCAAAACTAATTAGACGCAAATTAATGAGCCATGCCACAACACAGCATCAGTGAGAAAATCAGCAGCCGCTGTCGGGCGAGGAAAAACAAATGTGATGAAAATGCGAAGTGAAAATGTGAGAAGCTGACAAACAATTTGGCAGCGGGGACAGCCCCTCCCTCCCCTCTTCCTGCCTACCTGCCACCCTCCCTGACCTTTGGATATTTTCTTAAAGAAAATAAAACAGCAAACAAAAGAGATTCATTGGTTATATTTCCCTTAAATTCGCAACTAAAGAGAAAATTCTCCAGAGAAGAAAATTACCAAGTGAGAGAGAGAAAAAATTATAATACAAAGACATATTCAAATATCTACAAAATCACACACACACACTCACACAATTTTATAGAAATACGAATGGACCACACGGCGTATGCGCAATTCGCTTTGGCAACGAGCCAACGCTCTATACTTGGAGATCAACGGAAAAAGTTGCTGATTTTTTGCCAGAAATTATTTATAACTGCTTGTTCATGCACAACCACACACACACACACACCCGCGTGGTGTAGATATAGGTACAAGTATCTGTGTGTTATTTTCGAACAGCTCGCTCTCTTCCCTATTTCTCAGCTGTGTTAACTTGGCCAACACTAAAAGGTTTGTGTATAGTTTGAAATATTTAAAATATTTCCCTATTATTAAGGAGTAGAAGGGAGTCAGGAAATATCTTACGATGAATGACCAACTTACTCAGAAAAGTTTAAAATCAAGAGTAGAATTTGTAGCTTAGCTTACCTGCAAAGAGAAGAGAAATGGTAAAGAGAATTTGTTGATTATTTATGATATTATAGATAAGTAGGTAAAATATATGTATAAAATATATATAAAATACCAACAAGAAATAAATAAATAATTCAAACGATAAGTAGCTATTAATCTATACCTAAAAATAGTTTAAATTGTGGAAAGTATACGTTCTACAAAATTAGAAATACCATAGTTAATTGAATAATTAAAATGATGGTAATAAAATGATTTATGCTAAACAGAAGTGATATAAAAAAGGGGAATTTGTGGTAATACATTTAAAGGTTTCTAAGTACAATGACATATTTAAATATATAATTAATCACTAGGATTAATTATACAAAATCTACAACATTTTCATTTAGAATAAAACGTAATTTGCTCGTAAAGGATTTATACAAAGCAAATAACTCTTGCAAATGAATACACATATACACTTTTAATGTCCCTGTATATTGCGCCTCTTTCTACTGTTTATTCAAATTAAACCAATTTATATTCAGCATATATAATGACATGGAAATATACGCAGAAAAGAAAACAATAACAGAGATGGCCATGTGAATAAACGCCAAAAAGCGCAATATTTACGAATGAAGTGACACATTATTGAAATGTTCAACAGAACATTTAGATATGAAGATTCAATTTAATAAAGCGGAAAATAATATTAATGCAAATTTATTCAATTTTCACTTCAGAACCTTGAGAACGTTTTTTATTATCTGATTTTTCTTTTATATTTTTATGTTGGCCCCAATTGAAAACCCCCTTCTGGGGGGTG